ATAATATGGGGAGGCAGCGGGAGAAAATAAGAATATATGGGGAGGCAGGGGAAAGAAAATATGGGTGAGGCACTGGAAGAAATATGAATATATGGGAGGCAGGGGAAGAAAATAAGAATATATGGGGAGGCAGGGGAAGGAAAATAAGAATATATGGGAGGCAGGGGAAGAAAATAAGAATATATGGGGAGGCAGGGGGAGAAAGAAATAATATATGGGGAGGCAGGGCAGAAATTAGAATATATGATGAGGCAGGGGGAGAAAATAAGAATACATGGGAGGCAGGGGGAGAAAATAAGAATATATGGGGAGGCAGGAGAAAAAAATAAGAATATATGGGGAGGCAGGGGGAGAAAATAAGAATATATGGGGAGGCAGGTGGAGAAAATAAGAATATATGGGAGGCAGGGAAGAAAATAAGAATATATGGGGAGGCAGGGGAGAAAATATAAAATATATGGGGAGGCAGGGAGAGAAAAATAAGAATATATGGGGAGGCAGGAGAAAAAAATAAGAATATATGGGGAGGCGGGGGAGAAAATAAGAATATATGGGGAGGTAGGGGAGAAAATAAGAATATATGGGGAGGCAGGGGGAGAAAATAAGAATAATATGGGGAGGCAGGGAAGAAAATAAGAATATATGGGGAGGCAGGGGGAGAAAATAATAATATATGAGGAGGCAGGGGGGAGAAAATAATATATGGGGGAAGCAGGGGAGAAAATAAGAATATATGGCGAAGCGGGGGAAGAAAAATAAGAATTATGGGGAGGCAGGGGGAGAAAATAAGAATATATGAGGAGGCAGGGGGAGGAAAATAATATATGGGGAGGCAGGGGAGAAAATAAGAATATATGGGGAGGCAGGGGTAGAAAATAAGAATATATGGGGAGGCAGGGGAAGAAAATAAGAATATATGGTGAGGCAGGGGAAGAAAATAATAATGTATGGGGAGGGCAGGGGAGAAAATAAGAATATATGGGGAGGTAGGGGAGAAAATAAGAATATATGGGGAGGCAGGGGAGAAAATAAGTATATATGGGGAGGCAGGGGAAGAAAATAAGAATATATGGGGAGGCAGGGGAAGAAAATAAGAATATATGGGGAGGCAGGGGAAGAAAATAAGAATATATGGTGAGGCAGTGGAAGAAAATAAGAATGTATGGGGATGCAGGGGGAGAAAATATGTATATATGGGGAGGCGGGGGGAGGAAAATAAGAATATATGGGGAGGTAGGGGAAGAAAATAAGAATATACAGGGAGGTAGGCGAAGAAAATAAAAATGTATGTTGAGGCAGGGGAGAAAATAAGAATATATGGGGAGGCAGGGGAGAAAATAGGAATATATGGGGAGGCAGGGGCAGAAAATAAGAATATATGGGGAGGAAGGGGGAGAAAATACGAATATATGGGGAGGAAGGGGGTAGAAAAGAATATATGGGTAGGCAGGGGTAAAAATAAGAATATATGGGGAGGCAGTGGGAGAAAATAAGAATATATGGGGAGGCAGGGGGGGAGAAAATAAGAATATATGAGGAGGCAGGGGTGAAAATAAGAATACATGTGGAGGCAGGAGAGAAAATAAGAATATATGGGGAGGCAGGGGGAGAAAATAAGAATACATGGGGAGGCAGGGGAAGAAAATAAGAATATATGGGGAGGCAGGGGGAGAAAATAAGAATATATGGGGAGGCAGGGGAGAAAAAAAGAATATAGGGGGAGGCAGGGGAAGAAAATATGAATGTATGGGGAGGCAGGGGAAGAAAATAAGAATATATGGGGAGGCAGTGGGAGAAAATAAGAATATATGGGGAGGCAGGGGGAGAAAATAAGAATATATGGGGAGGAAGGGGAGAAAAATAAGAATATATAGGAAGGCAGGGGAAAAAGGGGTAAGAATATATGGGGAGGCAGTGGGAAAAAATAAGAATATAGGGGAAGGTAGGGGGAGAAAAATTTAAGAATATATGAGGAGGCAGGGGGAGAATATAAGAATATAGGGGGAGGCAGGGGGAAAAAATAAGAATATATGGGGAGGAAGGAGGAGAAAATGAGAATATATGGGTAGGCAGGGGTTGAAAAGAATATAGGGGGAGAGGCAGTGGGAGAAAATAAGAATATATGAGGAGGCAGTGGAGGAAAATAAGAATATTTGGGGAGGCAGGGGGAGAAAATAAGAATATTTGGGGAGGCAGGGGGAGAAAATAAGAATATATGGGGAGGCGGGGGGAGAAAATAAGAATATTCTGGGAGGCAGTGGGAGAAAATAAGAATATATGGGGAGGCAGGGGGTGAAAATAAGAATATATGGGGAGGCAGTGGGAGAAAATAAGAATATATGGGGAGGCAGTGGGAGAAAATAAGAATATATGGGGAGGCAGGGGAAGAAAATAAGAATATATGGGTAGGCAGGGGGAAGAAATAAGAATATATGGGGAGGCAGGGGGAGAAAATAAGAACATATGCGGAGGGAGGATGAAAATATATGGGTGGGGAGTGGAGTGTGTGAAAACTCTTACCTGACGATTAACGAGGTCATAAAACAGGATGGAATATTGGGAAGATTTACTAGAGACGAGGCATGACGTAAAGCCCAGGGCGGCCACTCTACCTTATGATGAGCAGAGCAAGGAGAGGGAGAGAGAGAGAGAGAGAGAGAGAGAGAGAGAGAGAGAGAGAGAGAGAGAGTGGAGATAGGATTGTTAAGGGATACGTGGGAAGGGAGACAGGGAGAAACAGAAGGGAAGAGGGAGAAGATAGGGGTGGAGGAGGGGATGCATGAAGTTGAAAATGAAATAGGAAGGAAACAAGAGGAAGAGAATGTGGGGAGGAGAATAATATGGAACCTGTAACCATCTTACTTTTTCTATGATGTCTTCATTGCACTGTATACCAGCTGCTTCCAGACACTTCCTCGGATTTACATCGTTTTCAGGTATGATGAAGCAAGCTTTTTACCACTCCATTAGATGGTGAGAATTTTCTCTGTCATTTACTCAGACGTTATTTAGGCTGCGTATCCGTCAGATGTGTTTTTGTATTCTGGGAATCTAGTTGGGAGATCACAAGAAGCTTCATCATGTGATCTGCTTCGTCCTGCACATGGTATGGCGTAGATGCTGGCTGTACTGGGAGTAAGGTGATGCGAGGTGTGCCTTATATCTACGATAGTCCTAGTAGGTGTATGCTATACTAGCGTTGAGTCTACGTCGCGCGGGGACGATGATTTCAGAGGGCCAGTAGGAAGGAGGATACTTTCAAGGTGCTGTCAGCACAAAGATTATAACACGATATTGTGTATGTGACGCTGACATGAAATAAAGCGAAGGTTGAAGGGCAGTGAGAGAATCAGAAATGTTATGTCATTTATCTTCGATGATGTCGCTATTAAAACTTCGTTAGACTGATAATTAGGTTCTTGTCCACATATCTCATCTAAATGATGCTGGAAGAATGCTAGTGGAACGGTTATCCTTAAGCTGCTCCATGCACAAGTTGGCAAGACCTGAATTACTGTAGATAAATGCTGTACGAAACCCATAAGTTGATAAATGAGACACTTGGGCAACATTTAGGGATCAATCTGAATTATTGCATTTCTCTTGGCAGTGTCGTCGCTCAGGCCAAGTGTCGGGGAAAATAAAAAGCTTAGCATATAAGGCCGATTATTCAGTCAGTAGGAACACAAGTGAAGAGAGATGTAACGTGTAGATTAGACAGTTTTTGTTTCTAATTCAGAGGTTATCTCATCGGTCCAGATACCCAGAGTGATGAAGAGGATTCTGGCTAGTCAGTCAGTAATCTTATGTCTCCGGTAATAGGTCTCATAGGAATATTGGGTTTGTGGGATCCGAGAGATCATACATCCTCGTTTACTTGGATTACTGACAACCGGATAGCTGAGTTTGCTTCCTAGTTCAGATTTTCCGAGTGTCTTTAGTGTTTGATAGGAAGTCTTTCAGTGTGTTTGATAGGAAGTCTTCAGTGTGTTTGGTAAAGTCGTTGGTAGTGATGGTATCATAGGCTGAGGCATCATTAAGAAGTTCGTTCATTTTCTGTAGGTAAGAGGGGGCAGGTGTTCATGATAAAGATGTTTAACACACAGTACAGCCAATGTCTTCACCATACCACTGACTAGACGAGGCAATGTCCTTAAAGCTGAAACTACCTCATGACTGCTCAGCTAGAATCTCGGAACAACTATATGACTGAAGGTACATAATCTCAATAATGCCTGTGAAAACCAGTGACAACTCTGACCATCTCATGGCTTGGGACAAAGCTTGTCTCATCTTGTGGCAAATGTAAGGGGAAGTGCCAGGAAGCAGCTGCTGTACAGTCCATTGAAAACGCTGAAGAAAACAAAGGATTATTCCGAGTTTCACCTCCACGTATACACTTTAAATGCTACGAGCACAACCTGTTCCATCAATCCATCTAAATCTCAACTTAGTCCAGTAGGACTAAACTCAAGGCATAACAATACTGAGACTGGAACAATATACAAATAACCCGCACATGGAATGAAACTTATGACGACGTTTCGGTCCGGTTGAGACTCATTAACTAGTCGATAAATCAGACACATGTGCAACTCTTGGGTATCTTTATTGAGGAAACGTTTCGCCACACAGTGGCTTCATCAGTCCCTCAACCTTGAGTCGATGTGGTCAGTCCATCATTCTCCGTACATGCAATTCCGCCTGGCTTACTTAGGTTTGTTAGTGTTTAGCAATAATCACGTTTAGGATGTACAAGAGTCTTAAAGATCATCATTAGCTCAGCATCTAGTCCGCAGGCCCTTGGTATTCAGTCATTTTCCTAGCAGTTAATTTTCTTGGGGCGTGATTACCCCTCAAGTATTCTGCTCTATTGAGTAGTACGTAAATTTTATGTCCATAGCTCAAAAATTCGAACCTTCCTCTAGGGTTCACGAATATTGATAATTTGAGGTAGGAAAGGCTTTTTCAAATTATCACACAAAAGTCTTTTTGGAAAGAAAACAAAAGCAATTCCGACAGCCAGGAGAAGTATCCCTTTCCGGGGATACCAGATACCGTAACTGAAACAATGTTCACCTAACCTGCAATTCGGAAATGTAACTTTAAACGATGTCTTTAGGAGAATTACATGTGCAGGACACTGTACAAGGAAGAAATGAGGAAAGGTGCAAGTGAATAAGGTCTCTGTGCGAAACATGGCGAAAGATGACGTCAGAGGAAATAATACGTCGTCCCTGTTAGCAATAATAAGCAGACATAGACACAACACTTGTCTCATGAATACCTGGTGTTGCTCACACTGGCAAACCTTGACTGGCTGTGGCCCTGAGGGGTCGCTACTAACTAAACCAAATTATCACAATACTAAAACAGCACCTGGGGAATTGGATGGGAGAGAGATTAATTTTTTACAGAAATCAGTTTTACAGGCTAAGAGCTGTTATCCTACCTCAGGATGCGACCCACACCAGTCGATTAACACTGCTAGGCGAACAGGGGGAAGCGTGTGTAAGGAAACATGCCCAGTGTTTTCACTCGTACCGGGTATCGAACCCCAGACACGCAGTGTATGAATTGAGTGCGCTACCAACCGAGCCATGGGACACATTAGGTATAATGAAAGGTATGAGAAGGTAGCTTAAATCACTTACATCAAAACCCTTTCATTTTTGAACAATAATAAAGTACTGTACCTGACGGAGAGGATTGACAACAATGTCTCCCACGGTGCTGAGAGGTCGCTGGTTGGTCCCACCGCTGCCGCCTGGAGCGCTCCTGAAGACGACACCAGCCGTGGGTCTGAGAATGGGTGGGCTGCCTCTGCTCCGGAGGGCGACTTCCGTCCCTACCTTCCCACCTGTCGAGCCTCGAAACCCAGTTAGCCTGGAAATCCCTGCAGAAGGGCTACCTTCTCCTATATAGCCCGGAGTTCTTGGACTTCCCGCGGGGCTAGAGCTTTCGGCACAACCAGTAGTCCTTTGGCTTCCTGAAGGACTTGAGCTGCCCACACAACCTGAAGTCCTTTGGCTCCCTGAAGGACTGGAACTACCAACACAACCAGTAGTCCTTTGGCTTCCGGAGGGACTTGAGCTGCCCACACAGCCAGTAGTTCTCTGACTGCCAGTGGGACTCGAATCAGATAGACACCCTGTGGACTGCTGGCTTCCCGTGGGGCTTGTGGTGCCCCTGGATCCCGCCCCGGGGAGTTTTACCTCCCCGGGGCATCCTGCTGAACTTCTCCTTTCACCAACACCTGCAGACTTCTCACCGATGGCACTAGACGATGAAGTAGACTGAACACCATTTAAATCCACCACGGTGTTACCAGTCTGCTCTGATGCCCCTGCTCCTGCTGCTGCCACTGCTGCTGCTCCGCCAGAAGACTGATCAAAGGTCTTCTCTGTGTGAGAGAGGAGAAAAAGAAGAGGAGTCAGGCAGAGTGCAGAGACGACCAACCTGCAGTGGAATATTGAATACTGATACACTCGTAAAAGCTTAACTGCTGCTCAAGGCTCTCAGCAGAGAAAGAGGCGGTCACTCAGACCAGCAGAAACGGAAGGAGCATAAATGAGAGGAAGGGAAATGGAAGACAAACACGATCACAGAGGAAGGCAACGCCCTTGTAGGAAGAGATATTCCCCAAAATAAAAATAATTTGTATTCAAAAAGAGATATATAACAGGGGGCAGAAAAAATGGAAGTAACCAACCAATGACGAGAGAAAGAACGGCAGACAAGGGAACTGGAAAGCTCCAAGACAGGAGAAATATAGACTGTTTAGTAAAATTCAAAAACAGAAGAAACTAAAATAAAAAAAAGGAGAGAAACGTGAGCTGAAGACAACTCAAAAAGATTGAAATGAAAGAAAATATTTGAAATAGTTTTATTAAGCAGCGTGAGTGGCAGCCAGGCAGTTAATGACCTCCAGGTGGTGCGCAGAGATGGGGAGAGAGGGGGAGAGAGAAGAGAGAGGGGGAGAGGGAGAGGGGGAGAGGGAGAGAGGGAGAGAGGGGAAGTGTGTGTGTGTGGACATATTACACTGGACGGATATATAAACTCCTACAGTGTATAAACACACAAATGTACATCTCAGTGAGTAAACACCCAAAGGTATGTATCTTCCTGTTGACCCACAGTTCCTGTGTATCGAGAGGTGTACATTTTGACGCATATACACTGCTTCTGTGTGTGTGTGTACCACGAGAATATATTTCAATACTTGTTTTCGAGATTCAAGCAACCTTGATGTCAGCATCAAAGAGAATTGCGGCTTTAAAGACAATTTTACAGGAGTAGCTGGAATCTAACCTAACTCTGATGGTTACAATATCCCAGTGTAACAGTGTACCTACACGCTTCAATGAGGAAACAACCTACATGACTTTCTTTCGAAGACGGGTACGCCAGCAGTGTGTTGCTGTACTGCTGTGTGCTGCTGTACTGCTGTGTGCTGCTGTACTGCTGTGTGTTGCTGTACTGCTGTGTGTTGCTGTACCGTGTGCTGCTGTACTGTGTTGCTGTACTGTGTGCTGCTGTACTGTGTGCTGCTGTACTGTGTTGCTGTACTGTGTGCTGCTGTACTGTGTTGCTGTACTGTGTGCTGCTGTACTGTGTGCTGCTGTACTGTATGCTGCTGTACTGTGTTGCTGTACTGTGTGCTGCTGTACTGTGTGCTGCTGTACTGTGTGCTGCTGTACTGTGTTGCTGTACTGTGTGCTGCTGTACTGTGTTGCTGTACTGTGTGCTGCTGTACTGTGTGCTGCTGTACTGTGTTGATGTACTGTGTGCTGCTGTACTGTGTGCTGCTGTACTGTGTTGCTGTACTGTGTGCTGCTGTACTGTGTTGCTGTACTGTGTGCTGCTATACTGTGTTGCTGTACTGTGTGCTGCTGTACTGTGTTGCTGTACTGTGTTGCTGTACTGTGTGCTGCTGTACTGTGTGCTGCTGTACTGTGTGCTGCTGTACTGTGTTGCTGTACTGTGTGCTGCTGTACTGTGTGCTGCTGTACTGTGTGCTGCTGTACTGTGTTGCTGTACTGTGTGCTGCTGTACTGTGTGTGCTGCTGTGTGTTGCTGTACCGTGTGCTGCTGTACTGTGTTGCTGTACTGTGTGCTGCTGTACTGTGTGCTGCTGTACTGTGTGCTGCTGTACTGTGTTGCTGTACTGTGTGCTGCTGTACTGTGTGTGCTGCTGTGTGTTGCTGTACCGTGTGCTACTGTACTGTGTGCTGCTGTACTACGGTGTGCTGCTGTACCAGTGTGTGCTGCTGTACTGTGTGTTGCTGTACTACTGTGTGCTGCTGTACCACTGTATGCTGTACTGTGTGCTGCTGTACCACTGTATGCTGTACTACTATGTGCTGCTGTACTACTGTTGTGCTGCTGAACTGTGTGTTGCTGTACTGTGTGCTGCTGTACTACTGTGCGCTGCTGTACTACTGTGTGCTGCTGTACTGTGTGCTGCTGTACTACTGTGTGCTGCTGTACTACTGTGTGCTGTTGTACCACTGTGTGCTGTACTGTGTGCTGCTGTACTGTGTGCTGTTGTACTGTGTGCTGCTGTAACACTGTGCTGTACTACTGAGTGCTGCTGTACCGTGTGTTGCTGTACTGTGTGTTACTGTACTGTGTGCTGCTGTACTACTGTGTGCTGCTGTACTGTGTGCTGCTGTACTACTGTGTGCTGCTGTACTGTGTGCTGCTGAACTACTGTGTGCTGCTGTACTGTGTGCTGCTGTACTACTGTGTGCTGCTGTACTGTGTGCTGCTGTACTGTGTGCTGCTGTACTACTGTGTGCTGCTGTACTAGTGTGTGCTGCTGTACTGTGTTGCTGTACTGTGAGATGCTGTACTGTGTTGCTGTACTACTGTGTGCTGCTGTACTGTGTTGCTGTACTACTGTGTGCTGCTGTACTGTGTTGCTGTACTACTGTGTGCTGCTGTACTGTGTTGCTGTACTACTGTTTGTTGCTATACTGTGTGCTGCTGTACTACTGTGTGCTGCTGTACTGTGTTGCTGTACTGTGTGTTGCTGTACTGTGTGTTGTTGTACTACTGTGTGCTGCTGTACTGTGTGTTGCTGTACTACTGTGTGCTGCTGTACTGTGTGTTGCTGTACTACTGTGTGCTGCTGTACTGTGTGTTGCTGTACTACTGTGTGCTGCTGTACTGTGTTGCTGTGCTACTGTGTTGCTGTACTGTGTGCTGCTGTACTGTGTGCTGCTGTACTGTGTTGCTGTACTGTGTGCTGCTGCACTGTGTTGCTGTACTGTGTTGTTGCACTGTGTGCTGCTGTACTGTGTGCTGCTGTACTACTGTGTGCTGTACTACTGTGTGCTGCTCTACTGTGTTGTTGTACTGTGTGCTGCTGTACTGTGTGCTGCTGTACTACTGTGTGCTGCTGTACTGTGTGCTGCTGTACTGTGTTGCTGTACTGTGTGCTGCTGTACTACTGTGTGCTGTACTGTGTTGCTGTACCACTGTGTGCTGCTGTACTGTGTTGCTGTACTACTGTGTGCTGTACTACTGTGTTGCTGTACCACTGTGTGCTGCTGTACTGTGTGCTGCTGTACTGTGTGCTGCTGTGTGCTGTACTACTGTGTTGCTGTACCACTGTGTGCTGCTGTACTGTGTTGCTGTACTACTGTGTGCTGTACTACTGTGTTGCTGTACTACTGTGTTGCTGTACCACTGTGTGCTGCTGTACTGTGTTGCTGTACTACTGTGTGATGTACTACTGTTGCTGTACCACTGTGTGCTGCTGTACTGTGTTGCTGTACTACTGTGTGCTGCTGTACTGTGTGCTGCTGTACTACTGTGTGCTGTACTACTGTGTTGCTGTACCACTGTGTGCTGCTGTACTGTGTTGCTGTACTACTGTGTGCTGCTGTACTGTGTGCTGCTGTACTGTGTTGCTGTACTGTGTTGCTGTACTGTGTGCTGCTGTACTACTGTGTGCTGCTGTACTGTGTGCTGCTGTACTACTGTGTGCTGCTGTACTGTGTTGTACTGTGTGCTGCTGTACTGTGTTGCTGTACTGTGTGCTGCTGTACTGTGTGCTGTTGTACTGTGTTGTACTGTGCTGCTGCTGCACTGTGTTGCTGTTCTGTTTGCTGCTGTACTGTGCTGCTGTACTGTGTTGCTGTACTGTGTGCTGCTGTACTGTGTTGTACTGTGTGCTGCTGTACAGTGTGTTGCTGTACTACTGTGTGCTGCTGTACTGCGTTGCTGTACTGTGTTGCTGTACTGTGTGCTGCTGTACTGTGTGCTGCTGTACTGTGTGCTGCTGTACTGTGTGCTGCTGTACTACTGTGTGCTGCTGTACTACTGTGTGCTGCTGTACTGTGTTGCTGTACTGTGTTGCTGTACTGTGTGCTGCTGTACTGTGTGCTGCTGTACTACTGTGTGCTGCTGTACTCCTGTGTGCTGCTGTACAACTGTGTGCTGTACAACTGTGTGCTGCTGTACTACTGTATGCTGCTGTACTACTGTATGCTGCTGTACTGTGTGCTGCTGTACTACTGTGTGCTGTTGTACTACTGTGTGCTGCTGTACTGTGTGCTGCTGTACTACTGTGTGCTGTACTGTGTGCTGCTGTACTGTGTGCTGCTGTACTACTGTGTGCTGCTGTACTACTGTGTCCTGCTGTACTACTGTGTCCTGCTGTACTACTGTGTGCTGCTGTACTGTGTGCTGCTGTAGAACTGTGCTGCTGTACTACTGTGTGCTGCTGTACAACTGTGCTGCTGTACAACTGTGCTGCTCTACTACTGTGTGCTGCTGTACTGTGTGTTGCTGTACTGTGTCCTGCTGTACTACTGTGTGCTGCTGTACTGTGTCCTGCTGTACTACTGTGTGCTGCTGTACTGTGTGCTGCTGTACTACTGTGTGCTGCTGTACTACTGTGTGCTGCTGTACTACTGTGTGCTGCTGTACTACTGTGTCCTGCTGTACTACTGTGTCCTGCTGTACTACTGTGTGCTGCTGTAGTACTGTGTGCTGCTGTACTACTGTGTGCTGCTGTACTACTGTGTGCTGCTGTACTACTGTGTGCTGCTGTACTACTGTTTGCTGCTGTACAACTGTGCTGCTCTACTACTGTGTGCTGCTGTACTACTGTGTGTTGCTGTACTGTGTCCTGCTGTACTACTGTGTGCTGCTGTACTGTGTCCTGCTGTACTACTGTGTGCTGCTGTACTGTGTGCTGCTGTACTACTGTGTCCTGCTGTACTACTGTGTGCTGCTGTACTACTGTGTCCTGCTGTACTACTGTGTCCTGCTGTACTACTGTGTGCTGCTGTAGTACTGTGTGCTGCTGTACTACTGTGTGCTGCTGTACTACTGTCTCCTGCTGTACTACTGTGTCCTGCTGTACTGTGTCCTGCTGTGCTGTGTGCTGCT